AAAGAGCTTTGCCTAACATTTTCTTTGCGTGCGTATGATTCCATAAATTTGCATAGAAATTTATTGTTGCATTTAATTCTTTATGGCTAGTTTGCTACTTAAATATTATTACTTTACTGATAATTACATTGAAAAGTTCACCGCAATAATAACTAGAAATTTTTTTGAAGCCTAAAGGCACATTAAGCCCCAGGAATGATATACAAAGAGCAAAGTTGTGTTTTATAGTATTTTAATAATGGATTTACATGTGAGAAGAAAACCGAGCCGATGAAAAAAAAACATTAAATATAAAAATTGTGGTAAAGTTAACAAAATCTAAACAAAGTGGTATTTAACTTCCTAACAAAAGTTTGATTAAATTTAATTTAATAACTAGTATTACAGTTTCCAAAAAGGTACTCATTGGCCTTCTTTTTTTCTTTTGGGTATGGTAATTAGCTAACTTATAATAATATTGGTTTCTAATAGTAACCCACTATTAGTAAGCAATATAGTGAGCTCTTGGCTTAAACCCAAAAAAAGAAAAAGAAGGCCAAGGATTACATTTTTGAATCTGTAATAGTACTACAAAAATATAAAGCTTTTAGAAAATAGAAAATATAGCAGTTTGATGACAAAAAACACGACAATTTTTAGACAGCTATTTTACAAGACTATATTTACACTTCCAAGTTTTGAAATTTCTTCCCTTAAATTAAATATCAACATGTCTTCTCACAATACAAATTGAATTGGAAGACATTTTGATAAATAAATCAGTGACATAAATTATTAGTGTATGTACCTATATATTCACAAACTTATACATTAATTTGAAATACTCATGTATATGATATTCATATATACAAACTATTATTTCAATTGTGGTCCTTAAGATATAGTATTGTGTTACAAAGAGAGATATTGATTATCACAAATTCAAACATATCACAGATATGGTACAAATAAATAAATAAAATGAAAATTGAAAGACATTTCAAAATTGAGCATATAATTATTCGAATGAAAACAAAGTTTAAATAAAATATGGGAATATCAGTTCAAAAATAAATTGAAAAACTAGATAATTAGAAGTCAAATACAAATAAAAAAAGATGATACCTGGATTGAGCTTTATAGTGACATTGAACTTACCAAAGGACTGTCTATATCTCTTACCCTTTGAGGAATCACATTCCACAAAGTACAACTTTTAGATGATTTTTTGACTAAATTCTTTGTCCCTCGTACCACTGTCAGAAAGCGACACACTCGAGTGATCGCCTTGAGATCTAAACTTAATCTAGGCCTTTAATTGTGAACAGAAATTGCTGATATGCAGGGACATCTCCAAAACGGATTTTGAACATATGACCTAAAGTCTTACAGTCTATTCTATGTTCAACCGGTAACCATTTAACAACAAAAAATGTGGTCCAATCATCAAAATGTTATAAGTTTGTTTATGGTGACCTGTAATTTATTTTGAAGAAAATGTGATGCAATCATCAAGATTCATTAAAAATCTTATAAGTTTATTTTTGGGTGACCTGAAATTTAATTTAAAGAGAATGTGATGCAGAATAAAGCAGGAAGCATAATCTAAATTACATTGAGCGCATTCGGTATACTTACCCGTGTAATCCGTGGTTGTTTACCCAGTGTAACTCGAGGTACTCGAGTAATAAATTTTGTCCGAACAGTTATTGGGTAAGTCAAGATGGCTGACAAACATCGGAAAAAGAAAATGATAATAGCATTAGCTATTAAAAAACTTCTTGATGCTTACAACACCAAAGCATTGTTCTTCCTCATGACACACAATGACCCAGTGATAAGTACATGTACAAGACTCTTGATGCAACGCGACAGCGTACCGCGCATAAGACGGTATGTAGAATCGGTAGTACCAAGATACAGTTTAAGCGACTTCAAAAGTCATTTTCGCCTAGAAAGAAGCTCATTTGAACTAATATGTGTAGCCATTGGTAGACATTTTAAAAGACAAAAGGGGAGCACAACATTCGCGGTGGAAAAACAACTTCTTATTTTTCTGTGGTTCAATGGTAATAATTTTCTTGTTCTGCTTGGTTTGAAAAAAAAAACAGTACTAAAACAAAAACATTTATTACACTAACTTAAATGTCTGTATTGCATTTTATTGAATTGTGAAAATATATTACATTCAAAGAACAAATTAATGTTGGCCCGGGATATTTAAATACATGCATGCTCTCGTTATAGGTTATTGATACTCTTCAACAGTTCTATGAGTATATATATGTATAAAGGATAAAACACTACTTTTAACTGCACAATATTTTCATTTTATTTTACTTTATCAATTTTGTACCACCAGATGAAACATCGTAAATGCTTTTTTTATATTTTAATTACAAGTAAAGGAAAAGTAAGGTTTTACCGAGGTGTGATTGACGAACGAGCACTTAAACTTTGATATTTGCCTCATTTAAATGTGATCGATTATTAACGGTGTTTGCAATCGTCATCCAATAACAGTGCAATTTAAAATTTGCTATTTAACTTCATAAGTTTAGTCCTCCTAAAATATTTTGAAAATTACAAATTTTCTGAATTACAGAATTGACAGGCAACATACGGTGGCTAAATTACACCATTTTTCATGACGAGAGAGTTCAAAATGGTTATCTTCCGTTGAAAGTACAACACAGCCCCCCCCCCCCATTTACTGCCCATTCCTTTATAGTGATATAAACTGTTTCTGCTAAAAGGACAGATGCTACAGGCATTCTGTAACACTAATCAATTTTACATACTGAAAAATGCAAGAAAAAAAGTGTGCCTCACTTGAAAATTATTTGTGGAATCCACCAGTTTCAAGCGTTATCTGGCATTCAAAAACGCGACTAAGGACCAGCCGTCCTGCATATACAGCCCCTATAAATCAGTCAACAATTGTCGATTGGTTATAAAACTATGTGTCCATTTATAAATATATTTATATACCTTCTATCGCAGAATGATTTGTTTTGTGCAAATTAATTACTGTACAATGAACTGTTCACTTACTCATATGCAATACAGTGTTCAATTATTTCTAATGTACCGCTTATGGGCAACCAAAGAACAATGTCTTATGGGCATCTCCACAATACTTAAATACTGCTGTGGCATGTTGAAGAACAAACAATTTAATCACATCATAATTATTTATTTTCAGGAACACATGATAGTTTTCGGTCACAAGCAGACAGGTTTGGGATATCAACATCTACCGCACACACATGCTGTAGGAATATCGCACGGAAAATAAGTTTGCATTTAGTGAAGCGATTTATAAAGTGGCCACGGAATGAAGCCCTGGACTCGGTAACTCAGGGATTTTTGGAAAAATGCAAGCTTCCGGGTGTAGTTGGTGCAATAGATGCATGTCATGTTCGAATTACAGCTCCTCAAATTAATCCAGAATCCTATTACAACCGAAAGAAATTTCATTCAGTTAATCTTCAAGCAGTAAGCGATAATCGTCTCTTGTTTCTCGATATATTTGTTGGCTGGCCTGGCAGCAGTCACGATGCACGAGTTTTCAAAAACTCGCCACTCTTTTTAGAAACTGCAGAAAATGCTATACCCTGCAACAAGTATATACTTGGAGACGCAGCATACCCACTACTACCTTGGCTGATGACACCATTTAAAGATTACGGAACTCTATCAAGAGAAAAGCAAAACTACAACAAGCAGCACAGCAGGGGCAGACAGGTTGTAGAACGTGCATTTGGCCAACTGAAAGGAAGATTTAGACGTTTGACACTGTTTTATGTACACAAAATAGAGCTGTTAGTTTACTGTATAGTAGCTGTATGCGTTCTCCATAATGTCTGCATCCTTAACGACGATGAAATAAATGATTTCTGTGAAGAACCCGATATAAATGTGTATGATGAACTAAATGAAGACAGAGAAAGTGGAATCCTATTTAGAGATGACCTTGTCCGAAATCTTTCGCAGTGACCATTTACCATTTTACTAGAACTATAGAGTAAATTCTTATTAATATACTTTGAACGAAAGTGTGAAATAATTAAATCAATTGGTTTATAGCAATACGCCTAATGTATATCCACCTGTCGTATTCTGATATGTATTATCTGATATTCAATATTAAAGTTCTCGTAACTCAAAATTTTAATGGTTTAATATAATTTATCTTTTGCTCAAATAAAGAATCATCATTGTTACGAAAGCATTTTAGTAACACAAACACGCACGCAAGTGCGCACAGACAGAAACCCCCCTCTCTCTTAATTGTATTTAAATTCCTTAATTTTCTCAACACAAAAAAGATAAGGAGAGAGATGACCTTGTAGTAAAGATGTCTGCTTCTAAATTAGTTGATCGAGGGTTAAAGCCCTACTGAGGTGACACAACCATGTTTCTTTTGACACGGTCACACCAGTACCGGATAGTTCCAGGAGGTGGATTCAATATGTTCAGATAAGCTCCGAGCTTCCTTTACAAGCAAACTGAATATGTGGATTAATAAAAAACATACTAACACGTTTTATTACGCCTTTTTCAACTATTTCAATTATATAGGTGGGAGGTTTCCTAACCATCATTCCTGGAGAGTAACACAAGTACTACAATCATATCTTGTACATCAAGGCATCTCTCAGGAATCGAAACCATGCCAGAGAAGTCGTCAGCGACTCTAATAACTAGACCCCTGAGTCAGTATAGATCATACATGATCAGTATCTCAACAACTTTACCAGAAATACTTCAGCAGGACTTTTACAAATCCCGCATAAAGTGTGGAGCGACAGACAGGGATGTGTTAGATTATATATGTATTCCATGCCAGAACCTGCAATTTCGGGAGCAAGATCCTTTAGTCTTTTATACAAAGAATATTGCAAGGGTTGAAACAGAATTTATTAAGAAGTTATAGAACATTACAATAAAACATGATTGTAAAAATGAAATAATTCAGGAAGGCATTGTTATGCATGCAATGAACAAAGCTGAAAACAATGGGACCATTGGCCCCAGCTCACTCACCTGAGTACAGAATTATAATGGTGTAAACAAAACCAGGCCAAAACGTAGATCTAAGCTCTAGACCAAATACTTTCCAACAATAAGATTTTTGAAGTTTTTCCTATATTAGTCTATGTAAAATCAATTGACTTCCCAGGCGAGGCCAATATAGACCCTTGGGCCATAATTTGTACAATATTGGTAGAGGTCCACTAGAGAATGCTACACACCAAATATCTAAGCTCTAGGTGAAATAGTTCAGACAAGATTTTTAAAGTTTTTCCTATTGGTTGCCATAACGACCAGAATTTTCAATGGAATTTAATTTTTTTAACACCTTTGAAAGGGGATCACCTAAGGATCATTTCTGTAAAGTTTGTTTACAATTGGCCACGTGGTTCGGAGGAGATGTTGTTTTAACAAATTGTTGATGACGGACGACGAACACTGAGCCATCACAATACCTCACCATGAGCACGTTGTGCTCAGGTGAGCTAAAAATATAGCAATTAAAGCAGCACGCCTTAAGATTTATTTCAATGTTCATGAAAATAAAGTGTTAGTGTTTAGTAAAAATGTTTATTAAAAGTACAAATGACAAAGGCCAACTTACACAGAAATTACCTTAAATGTATCAAAAATACTTATTTAGGCCTTATTTTTGCAAATAAAGCTGAAAATTAGGGTGATATAGAACAATTTACTTTTACTTACTACAAGTAAAGTATTAGATGCCTTGCAACAAATTCAAGACAATTTAAAGAAAAATGTCACTTGTCCCGATTACTTTTCAGCAAATGAAACCTTCCTTGAACAAAAATAAGTAAAAATAACGCTTTCTAACAAGGGATACTCAAAATGTATTTACATAGAACCTTTCCAATATCCACACAGATTTTCTAAATTACGACTCTGCATTACATTTCACGTCATCTTCAAACTGTGATAATTTACAATTATCAATACATTTCTTCAGAAGCTTGATTGTTCATATTTTGATAAAATGAAAAACAGAAGCCTTCCTGGCAAAACAATATTTAACATAAACTCTTGTAATATGTGTTATACATATATTAAAAAAGCAAATAAACAAAATTCAAACATTTACTTTTTAACCTTTCCAAGTTACCGTGATTTTCTATATGGGACACTAAACCTTCATTACAAACTGTAGTAGATTTACAACTTATCAATAAGTTTCTTCAATAAATTGTTTTGTTCACTTTTCATTTTTTCGATTACAGACAGCATTCTCTGGTCTCTTTCCTCCATCAATTCCTTCAACTCATTTACCATGCTTTTTCTGCGTGGACGCTTGGATTCAAAGGCTGGTGAAGAAACATCTGAACTCTCATCAGTTTCGTTGGCATCAAGATCAGTGCCTTCTACTTTATCCCCTGATCCAAATGTGCAAAGTGGTTTTACTGCCGGGTCGTCCCCAATAAGAGCATGCATCTCTTTTTCATATCTAAATGAGCACTTTCCACTACATGATTTCTTATTTTTATCTACATATGCTTTGTATGACCGTTTCATATATTTGTACCTGTCTATGCATTGTGTAACAGTAACATTGAAACCATGTGTTATGAGAACTTCCGCAATACCTGTCCATACTTTTGTTTTGTTTTTAGCCCCTTTCAGTTTTTCCATATTTGCAGCAGTAGTATCAAGTAGTAATTTAGTCTCAGAATCATTCCATTCATGACGTTCTACATTGCTGGTGGCTAAAACAGTAAATAAACTTCATTTGTGGGGTGTAATAAAAACATAGGACAGCTGAAGAAAATACAGAAGGAACTATGTATAACTAGGAAAGCATTAAAAGTTAAGTAAACGTATACAGTTTTAAGTGAATTAATGTTTCCAGAGGTATAGGAAGCAAACGAAAACAAAACAAGAGAGATCAGTGATGATCCCAAGTGTCACCTGATGATAGCTTGAGGGGTGATTGGACAGTTTGTTGGATAGGTATCTTGGCTGTATGACACAACAATCATTAACGGGCAAAAACGCCTTTTCATCCATAGGCCATAATTCAGCTAAAGATAATTTCAACCAAAAAACAGTTAAATAAGTGCAGTACCTGAGGTACCAATCAATCCAGTAACATTTCATTCAAATTGTGTAAGTAGTATAAGTAAGTAGTCCAGAAAAAAATGAAAAAATCATTAAAGGGCCATAACTCTGTCAAAAATCATTAAACTTAAAAATGCAGATACTATGCACAACTAGACTTGATACTTATCGTTCCTATAAAGTTGGATGAAATCACACCAGTAGTTTCTTAGAAGTAGTCCGAACAAGTTTTGTGACAGATGGACAGACAGACAAACGACAGAGAAGTGATCCCTGTATGTCGCTGCTACTTTGTAGCAGGCGATAAATTAAGGACATAAAATATACAAGTTTCATTATTCAAAACATATGAACCCCTTTCTTCTGGGTAAATTTTACCTATTTCCATTCTCGTCAACAAACGCGGTTGAGGTTTCCGTCGATTCCGCCATATTGAATCTGCAAGTGGCAATATATTCGGATAGAATTACCCACTTTCCCGGCTTCTTGAGGTGGGTAGAATTTTTGTCACACGAGTAACATTACCCGGGTAACACGAGTTGTACTAGAGCATTACCCGTGTTAACCCGTGTTAACTCGAGTAGGTATGCCGAACGCGCTCATTGGATGATAGACATGACCAACAACTTTTTATTATGGAAAGATACGAAGTCTCTTTTTCTTTAAAATAATTTTAATCTCGAAAAAAACCCTTTTGAGTGATTGACAAAATTATGGAACCAAAAGCACAACAGTCAACGGTTGATCCTGAATAGCTTCCTGAATCCTTTGATTATTACATTGTGACATTTAGAGCAGACTAAGACTTTTTTTTAAAGAGAATAGATTGTAAGTTACTTTCCCGAATGCATATATAATTTAATTTAAAAAGTAACATTCAATGTGATATATAATTGTACCAGACTTAACATAATTATTATTATCATGCAGGAATTTAGATCACTCTTCATTTATCCTAGCTTTCCATTTCACGTAGCAGTAGTTCTTCCCTTGAAAGAAGCAATTTAAATCTGAAAAGCGAAAGCAGATAATCTGCCTTAAAGGATGGAATCTATCAAAACAATAATGGAATGGAATTTTTCACGAGAAAGAGTATAGAATATACAACCATCCATTAGAAGCTTTTAAATCAGACCATGTAAAAATGTTGTATCTTCGTAAATGTACCATATATCTTTTTGAGCTATATATCTTTTTGAGTGATACCGTTACAAAAATGTTGTATATCAGTTGCATTTAACATTTTAGTTTCATGGAATCATAATAAAGACATAGTCCTTTGAACAAGCACATGGCATTAAAGAACGCTAAAATGGTGATAACTGTTCGCAGCTAGTAAAGAACACAAAAACACGATAAGAATACCTTTGTTAACAGACGATAAGAAATATAACTGAGAATAGGTCATTCATTATTAATAGTTCTTTCACTATCCGTGCATATTTGATTTGCGAGCAACATGGATTAAAAACACATACAAAAAAGCATATTGTCTAAAACTATTGTATACATTTGTTTCAACATTTAAAGTAAGGCCACATAAAGCCCAACTTTATCTAATTCAATAAATTTAAATAATGTAGCAAAACGTGAAAGTTAAATATATTAAGTGGTATATATTTTTGTGTTTGCATGTTAAATGTATCTTTTGCAACAAGAAAAAAATATACTAAAAATATCGTCAGCTATTACATTAATTTATTCCGAAAATCCCTTGAAAAGTAAAGGTAATTCGTAAAACTGTCAACAAGAATTTCATTTGCATTTTTGCAAAATGTGCACCGTTTTAGAAGTACTGATGTTAACTGCAGTCAAGAAAATAGTACCAGAATTATGTGAGTTAACTTTAAATAAAAAATGGAGGTTTGTGTCTGATGTCTGCAAAAGGAACTCAATCTGCCATTTGGTTCAGAATCAGAAAACTGGTGTTTTCTGAAGGGTTATTTTTATGATGTTTTTGGCGTCCAATTCTTATGTTGTTTAATTACTTGTAGAAATTTTGTACAAAATAGTTTTATCTGATTAATTGAACATTGATCAATTTTTAATTTCATTCTTTAATAAGCTGAACATATTTTAGTCCATTGTTATGCATAACAAAATATATTTACAGGTAAAGAATTTCTAATGAAAATGAAAGTAAAATAAAAAGTAAGTCACCCTTTTCATCCGTGAAATCAGATATAGTTATAGAGAAATATTTTGCTATTTAGTTAATTGTAAAAAAGCTATTTTGCCTCGGATTATACCAAACTGTTTATTGTACATGTATGACATTTGTGTCTGATTTTTTTTGCTAATATATAAATTGAACTCAATTTGAAATCGGTCTGCAAAAGGAGCTCATTCTGCCATTTTGCTTTCGAAGTAGAAATCTTGTGACTTTTAAAGGGCACCATTAATGAATTTGCATCCTTCTTATACTTGTAGAAATCTTGACAAAAGCTCTTATCATAATAATTAAGCATTGATTTTTTTTTCATTTTATTCTTAAATTAACCATGATTCATGCATATAGATTTATACGTGTTTATATATATATTTACAGTTAAAGAAATTCTAATGAAAGAATAATAAAAAGTGACCCACATCATCCATCAAATCAGAAATAAAGAAAAAGTATTTCCTATTTAGTTGATTGTAAAAAAACTAGTTTGCAAACCCCACTGATGGATTATATCAAATTATTTATTGTACATGTACCACCTAATACATCAAATGACGTAAACACGAGCTAGCAAAACGTGCTATAAAATGGAAAAAATCACTCTAAATTTTGTCAAATTATATTATTTAGATATTTATGTTGTAATATGTCTATCTCTTCCAAAAGAAGTGACTGTGTGAAACTTCAAAGTCATATTGAAGCCATCATAGGATAGTGTTTTAATTTCAATTTCCCAGAAGAATTTTATCTTATCTATCCCATTGTAATTCTATGTTAATACTATCTGGCGTGTTAAAAAGTGATGTCAATAAATGATTTATTTCTGGAAAGGCTAATGTTTTATCAAAATTGCTTTAAAAAAAAGATGTTAAAATTCTGTTTTTACCATTGATTTTATTTCATTTGCTTTGACATTATAATCTATATTAATCATTTCATTATGTCAAGAGAATACTTATACCTAAATCTGTGGAATTTCCATTTTTTCAGCAATTTTTTTGTCATTCAAAAATTCAGTTTTACTCCCTTCAATAGTATCAAACCATACATAACGGCTTAGTTTGCGGTATGACTTAAAATGGCGAACATTTGATTTCGAAATCCATTATTTGACTAGAAAATCCAATAAACAAAATCCAAGCCTTTTTGGTATCATATTTGTTAAAAGCCAACAAGGTTTTTTTGTCACCCTACTTGGATGGTGATGTTTAATTTATAAAGAAAAGAAAAATGAATGTGTATTATCCCACTCACCCATTACCTTCATCACGGACAGATGAAATTGAATAGATCTTTGATAAAGAAAATTGTACGCAAATTATACTTTTTATAACTTTTTACAATACATCATAGAAGTGTAATAAATGAGTTCTCAAAAATATAATCCATAAATCATTCAAAAGAATTTCCAATACCTACTCAAACATCATCAAAGGGAACCAGAAGTTAAAGTAAAGAGCTTATAAGTGGTCCCTACGATAACAATCACAATTCAATACGGCACCAAAAAAAAAGATGTTTCAGAGAGCAACAAGTGCTGAAATCAAAACATCATCAGTAAGAAGAATGAAATACAAAAAAAGACAATGAAACAATTTTTAAAACTCAGCTAATAGAAATCAAAACACAGCTAAAGTGAGAGTGACAAAACTTACAACACAATGAATTATTTGGAAACTACGAGGATGTCAAAAAAGACAAAAACAACACGTCATTTTGACGTCTTGTAATATTGATAAACAAGATACTTTACGTCTGATTATATTGACCTGCCATTGATTTATCTGGTCAGACCCCCTCTCTAGAATAGCACATTTATTCTAATTTATCGATATTTGCCCTTTGCCCCTTGTCATGAACATAAGAACATTCGTTTACATGTTAAATTCTGAATGAAAATAATCAATCTTTTTCCGTGAAAATCATCGTAACTGCTCAATACAGATCAATGTAAAAATATAAATAAGTCGGTCACAGAATGTTATGGTTACATGCAGAAAATTGATCACGTACCCGTAAAAAATTCAGCAATGTTGTCAAACTGTTCTTAATCAAGTTTTATTTGACTAACTTCCGGAAATTCATCGGTCGAAATAAATTGATGACGCGAGACTTTAAAAGAAAAACTAACTAGCTAGATTGATTTAATGAATAATCAATAACACATCGTTATTTATCCGGTTATCCAATCAACGTGATTGACAAACGTGAATACCACATTCTTGTTTGGTTGATTACTGATAGAAATCAGTTATAGAAGTACGGAGTTTAATTGTGTATACTGATGTGTATACTGCCCACTGCTTATATGTATTACTACCTAATGTTTCAATACTGCTTACCATAAACTGTTTTACATAATGCAATGTATTTACTGTTTACTACCTACTGTTTACTATCTTATTTCACTTTATCGTTATTTTCTTGTAACTTTTTATTGATTTATTCTTACTATCTACTGTTTCTTTTTACTGCTTACTGTCTAATATCTAATTTCTTATTACTCTCTACTATTTATTTTTTTACATCTACTATTGAGATATATGCATTTACAACTGTTTACTGTTTAGAATCAACTGCCTTATGTTTACTTACTGTTTTAGATGTATGTACTAGCAAATTATCAACTGTATACTATTTAATATCAACTGCCTAATGTTTACCAACTGTTTTGAATATACCTATATGTGCACCAACTGTTTACTATTTAATTTTAACTTACTAACTGTTTTGGATATATGTGCTAACAACTGTTTACTATTTAATATCAGTTGCTTAATGTTTATCTTATAATCATTATAAGTATTACTGTCTACTGACTGCTTTAATTTGGACTGCTAAATAATTTTTAATTATATTCAACAGGCAGCCAGTATTAAGTTACAAAGTGAAAAGTTAGAAGTAAATCTCTCAAAAAGACATCGATTATTATCCCAGTTTCTGTCTCTTTCAATTTAAACGCCAAAGCAATGTAAAGGTCATGAAACTAAAACTAGGTATGAAAATATTAATTGGCAAAATTCGTATTCGTGCGAATGCGCTTTTGTATCATCTTTTGGCATGTGTATTGCTGGTTATGGGATCCGTTGTATAATATTTGTTTATTTATTTATTTATTTATTTATTTAAGTCTTCACACATGACATACGGAATAAACAACATAAATTTAATCATAGAAACATGTTTAAATCAATGCTATATATAATTTAAAAATACTATGAATGTATAAAGTATATAAAGTAGATATCAGTTTAAAATATTAATGGATAATCTACATGATAAAGCTAAGGAACAGATGCCAATTATAAAACAAAGTTAATACAAAAACACGTAAAAATGGAATAACTAAAGGAACACTAGAAAAAATGTCTGCAACGGGAAAAGTAAAGGAGCTATACAATTGAAATTCATGTACCAGTGGAATTTGGAAC